TAGGGTTTAGGCGTTCAGGGTTTAGGTTTAGCGGTTTCAGTGTTTAGGGTTTAGGGTTTAGAGTTTCGGGGTTTAGGGTTTAGGGGTTTAGGGGGTTTGGGGTTCCAGGGGCTTTGGTTTTAGGGTTTAGGGTTTATATAGGGGTTTTAGGGCTTACGGTCCAGGGCTTTAGGGTTTAGGGGTTTAGGGGTTTAGGGGTTTAGGGTTTTGTGTTTTTGTTTACGTCCCTTTGTATTGGCTACAACACAGGGTTTTGTAAGCTTACCATCATGTGGAGGGTTGAGGGTTTAGGAGCGAAATGTAGGGGCCTCAATAATTGAAATAGGGCTTCGGAGCATACTATACTATAGTTATAATAAGGAGCCCCCTATGTAGTATTGGTAATGATTCAAGCCCCCCTTTTTTTTTGGGGGGGGGTCAGGGGTTTATAAAGTTGCGGGGTCTAGGGCATTAGGGTTCAGGCTTTCGGTGGTTAGGGCGTGGAGACTTCCGGCTTTTGGGGTTTCTTTACTAACTACTGTAGGGGCCTCGGTTTAGGGTTTAGGGTTTAGGGTTTAGGGCCTTATGATTAGAATACGGTTTTGGGCTCCTGGCTAGCATAATATCTATAATAAGGAACCCGATCAGTAACATTGGGAATTATTAGGTCTCTGTATTATTGCGACCCCTACACAACCCCTACGCAACCCTAAAACCTAAACCCTAGGCTGTCTTGTTCTGGAAGGTTTAACGTAGGGGCCTCATCAATTACCAATATTAAGGCCAAAACCCTATTGGAATAATATAGGGGCCTTAATTAGAATAGGGTTTGGGTGGTATATTTTACCTATAATAAAAAGAAGGAACCCCCAAAACCCTATTCTAACTATATAAAGGCCCCTACATTATGGATATTACGGCCCCCTCTATTCGTCTCGCTCGTGTGCTTTGTGGGCTTCGCAGGGCTTGGCACCAGCAAGCGGATCCCTCTGTTCGCTTGAGAACTTCGGCTTTGTCATTGCTTTTGGCTTCGCATTTGTGATAGCCGGAAAAGAAAAGTACCACAATCAAGAATTCTCGTCGGTAGACTATAGATCGCGGTTTGAGGTTTCAGCCTTGGGACTGTTGCAATCTTGCTCTTCTCAGCTTTTCACGTCGGATATATGGCTGCCTCATGCAGACTATTCGGGTTTAGGATCCAGGGTTCAGGACGCAGGCCTTACACCAACCCTAGATGGCCGAGGGTTTAGAGTTTCAGTTTCGCGCTTTGGGTTTGGGTTTACCCTAAACCCTAAACCCTAAACCCAGTGTTCAGGGCTGAGGGTTTCGAGTTGCGGGGTGGTTGTCGAAGACCAGGCGCATCTGCTGCTGAACATCGGACAGATCCATGGCTGCTGTTAAAGGAAATTACAGCTGGGAAGTTTAGTGTTTGGGGTTTAGGGCTTAAGGAAACTACAGGTGGGGAGTTTAGGGTTTAGGGTTTAGGGTTTAAGGAAACTACAGGTGGGGAGTTTAGGGTTTAGGGTTGAGGGTTTAAGGAAACTACAGATGGGGGTACTTTTCTAAATTAGGATCCCTTTTGGGGTCCTTTTTATAAGGGTGCCGTACTATATTGAGGACCTAAAAAGGGACCCTAATTTAGAGAACTACCCATGGGGAGTTTAGGACTAGCTTCTTGTTCTGCAGCACACGGAAGCTGAGGAAGTGCTGCGAGAATGAAGCCGACGTGCTGCAGACCGCTTGAGACACTGCCGGCTCTTCTTCTCCAAACCTACTTAGGGTTTAGGGCTTAAGGTTTAGGGGTTTAGGGCTTAGGGTTTAGGGTTTAGGGGTTTAGGGGTTTAGGTGTTTAGGGCTTAGGGCTTAGAGTTCCTTCAGGGCTCTAAATCCTCAACCTTAAATCCTAAGGCCTAAGCTCCAAATCCTAAAACTGGAGATTGACCCAAGGCCATCCTAACTCCTGCGAGCGTCTGAGTTCCACAAACCATCCGAATCACAACCTCACCTTTCCGAAGCAGGGCTGTACTGTAGGGTGTTGTCCAAGTTTCGACGCTCCTAAACTCCTAAATCTTCATGTCTCTGGTCCCCGTGACGAAATCTCCTGAGGAGTGCTTTGGGGCGGTGGGCTTCCATCACAATTTCGCTGGGGGCACGTCCTCATCATCATCTTCTTCTTCATCGTAAGCATGATGGTCAGCTCTGTCATAATTGTGCTTTGAATCCTCGCCATTCTCGGAATCATCACGATCAAGATGGTATTCGGCTGTGATATTCTGCAATACGAGGATGAACCCGTAAGAGAGATACGGAGACTAACAAGAACAGAGCCAATAATGATGATGGTAATAACCATAGTCATCAAAATGCAAATACACATTCCTGATAATGGCACTAATATTAATAAGAGGAATAAAGGATAGCAGTGACAATAGTCATCATAATCATCATGGTCGCCGTGGTAGTCGTCGTAGTTGTGGTAGTGGTAGAAGTAGTGGCGGTAGTAGTATAGCAATAGCAACAATACTTCGTAACGATGTAGGGTTTAGGGTTTAGGGTTTAGGGTTTAGGGTTTAGGGTTTAGGGTTTAGGGTTGAGGGTTTAGGGTAACTGGTAAGAGCACGGACGACCAAAGCCCCGGGACTCGATTCTCTCCACCACTTGCGTGCTGTGACTCTCTCGCACCAGGCTGCCGGGCTTCATCTTCTTCTTTGCTTTTCATTAAGGGTTTAGGGTTTTAGGGTTT